AAAAAATATTATGGACCCTAGCAGGTTTGGCTCAGTGGATAGAGCGTTGGCCTGCAGACTGAAAGGTCCTAGGTTCGATTCTGGTCAAGGGCACATGCCCAGGTTGTGGGCTCAATCCCCAGTAGGGGACGTGCAGGAGGCAGCCAATCAATTATTCTCACCATTGATGTTTCTATCTTTCTCTCTCCCCCTCTCCCTTCCTCTGAAATTACTAAAAATACATTTAAAAAAATATTGTGGTAAATCAGGGTTTCTCAAAATTTGCTGTATGTTAGGGTCACTTGGGGAGCTCTGGAAAACCTCACAGAGCTCCATCCCAGGAAGTATCAGTGGTTTTTAATGTTTAACCTTCAGCAGAATTTGAGAGTCACTGTTAAAAACTGTTAAGTGATGGCCACAAATAAACCATGTCTCCTGGTGTTCGGGCCTTTGAGTAGTTCCCTCCCAAATTGGGTGACATGACTTTTGTTGTCCAATGAAATAGCCTACATGGAGAGAAATCTCGAGGACAAGATGCCACCTTGGACTTTCTGGCTCCAGGCCAAGTCAACACAGTTATACAAGGGAACTAAACTATACCATATGGAGCAGAAGAACCACCCAGCTGAGCTCAACCTATCCACAAATCCGAAGAAATCCTTAAAGCCTTAAGCCACTCATTTTTGGAGCAATTTGTTAGGCAGGGAGAATTGGAATGTTTATCTTCCACATTCTGACTTTTCACAGCACAACATACTCAGACTCCAACCACTGGCTCGTGGATAAAAAAATATCTGCAAGTGCCTTTCCAACAGGTAATATGGGAGGCTGCCCAATGGAGCCAGTGGTAATGACCATCACTTCTTTTGGTGGGTTGTGAGCCACAGGTGAGAACACATCATCTAATTTTATCCAAATTGAGGGCAAATATTTTGGCAGCACACATCCTGTGTGTGCAATAAATCCAAGACAGAGTTTGTAGTGATAAACAACTTATAATTAAAACACTCAGGCTTATATTTAATAACTGGTTTTGCTTTATTCTGCAGTTCACATATGACAGCCCCAAACCCAACACTTAGATTTTTTTCTTCTGAATTTGTTGTTTTTTCAGATGTATGTCAATAGAGACCATATTCTTCCAGTAGCATATGCAGTCTGATCCTCATCCGGGGGGGACATCAGGCCCTCAAAGACACTGGCTCTGCAGCACTGGAACCTGGGTCCTCCCCTGGGACTGCACCCATGTCTGTCTGTGGAG